ATATATTTATTGATTTCAGTCAATGATGATAGAGAATCATTGATTGGCTGCCTCCGGCATACCACACACAGGGGATCGAGCCCGCAACCTGGGCATATGCCCTGACCGGGAATCAAATCGTAAACTCCTGGTTCATAGGTCAATGCTCAACCACTGAGCTATGCCGGCTGCGCCCTACTTCCCTTTGTGTGTCCCCTCCCCGCACCCCCCAGGGCTGCACCTCCCTCCACCCGAGGAGGGGAAAGGGGAAGCGCGGGCTCCTGCTTTCAGGGAGCCTGTCAGGGTCCCTACGCTGGAGTTAGCACCTGCTTCCACTATTTAGCAGCTGTGTATTTGGGCAATTTCCTTAGCCTCATTGTTGACCTGGTTTCCTCACCTGTAAAATGCAACCATAATAGCTGTGAAGTTTAAGAAAACAACACCTGTAAAGTACTCAGGGCAGAGGCTGCCATTTAGAAAGTACTCAATACATGCTAGCCATTATTATTATAACAAAATGATGCCTGGCCAGTGTGTCTCAATGATTGAGCATCAACCCATGAACCAGGAGGTCAGGGTTCGATTCCCAGTCAGGGCACAGGCCCAGGTTGTGGGCTTGATCCCCAGTGTGGGGCGTGCAGGAGGCAGCCAGTCCATGATTCTCTCTTATCATTGAGGTTTCTCTCTCTCTCTCTCCCTCTCCCTTCCTCTCTGACATCAATTTAAAAAAAACAAAAACAACATATTAAAAAGAAGAAGTATCCAAATGGACCTCACAGACTGGAGTGGGCGCACCCATAAAAAGACCGGACGTAAGGAGACCCCTGAACGTCAACATTTTAGTCTTTAAAATCAACTCTACAGGATGACGGAGGGAAAACACAGGAGACGTTTAGTCGACATAAACTCATAACAAATCCTCACAGAGCTGCAGGCACACGATGCAACCTGGGGATGCATTAATAGAGGTAAGGCACTGAAAATGCGGGAGGGCGTCCCTCAGTTCCACCCCGGCAGGCCAGGACCCCTAGGGACCCTTGGCTGAGCTGCTGCAGCCAGAGAAGGGAGCCGGCAGGAAGGCAACTGCTTCTGAGGCAGGAAAGCTGCCCCGGGCTGAGAGATCCACCCAGGTTCCTAAAGGACTGACCAGTCCACGGAAGGTTCAGGAAGAAAGACAGGCTTGATTCAAGGGCAGATGTCTTGGCTGGGCAGTACCACATGACGTCAGCAGCCGGGCAGTAGGAGCCCAAGGCTGCAGGGGACGAGGTCCCAGGCAGAGCGAGGGCCCGGGAACTGACACCCAGGCAGCCCCAAGTGTGGGGTGCAAGCCCCCTCCCTGCAGAGCCGCCTCATTCTCTTGCTCTTAAACCATCCCAAACAGATGGGGTTACATTTGGCCGGGCCTGTTTCCAACTGCGATTCCAAATATAAGCCCAACACATTCCGGCCTTCTGTGCTGTGGTTATTTTAGAGGCGGCTGGGGCGGCTGAGGGGTGTGACCACGGCCTGCTCCTGGGCAGCGCTCCTCAGCTCCATTCCCGAGCCCGGCGGGGGGCTCCCTGACCTGCTGCTTCTGGAAGGACCGCGTCTCTCCCCATGGGGACAAAGCAACAGCCACAGTGAGCTGGAAGGCCCTTCAGGTAGGAGCTGGACAGGCACCCACGGCCACGCTGCCTGACCTGCATAGACACCCACGGCCACGCTGCCTCACCCTCGGACCTGAGGGTGTGGCTCTCACTACCTGCCCAGAGGCAGGTGCATGGACCACGTGACAGCAGGGACAGCCTGAGCCACGGGTCTCCCCTCCAGGCCAGGCCCTCGGGGGTTGTCCCACATGCACCCTATCGCCCTCCTGCACACATGCGGCCCCGGGTCTGCCTCCGGGGACCCAGCCAGTGGCAGCCATGAAAACTTTGGCTTCCCGGCCAGACCGACATGGGATCAAATCCCCGCCTGGCCCCTCACTGACAGGCGACTGTGGGTCATTGCCTTCACCCCACGGAACCCGCTCGCCGCCCCTGTGAGCACATCACCTCTCCCCTCTCCCTGGCTGAGAGCTCACAGGAGGCGAGGCCTGGAAAGAGCGTGGCTGGCAGCCAGGCCGGAGCAGGGGCCCTGTCAATCGCCATCGCCCGTCATTATGTGGCTCCCGTCATGGAGTGCTCACGTCCTCGCGGTAGGATATCTCCCCTCATTTCACCGAGAGGTGAAGCGACTCGCCTGAGGCCCCACAGCTGGTGAGCGGCAGAGCTGGGGGTCAGGTGCAGCCACCTGTGCCCCAAAGGCCGTGTCGCTGTTGTGGGCTCCTGGTCCACTCTGCTCACCACCCCCACCCGCCACCCGCTCAGCACGGAGCTAGGGCCTGGGCCCCGGACTCCCGCCCACCCTCGCTGTCCGGGCTGCAGGGAGTGAAGGCCCGTCAGTCAGCCTCATTCCTCTCATTCCCAGTCGTCCTTGTAAACCGATGATTGTTTAACCAGGCCCAGCGCGCAGCGCCGGTTACATAAGCCGATGAGGAACGCGTGGCCCAGGTCCAGGGGCCCAAGGCGTTGGGGTCAAAACCAAGTCCCGCGCTCCTTCCCGCCGACCTGTCGCCATGAAACGTGCGAACCCCAGGGGGG